CATTTAATATATGTTTCCCTATGTCATTTAATACTATTATTTTCTAGGTCGTTTAATACTATATTCTCCTAAGTTATTTAATACAATGTTCACCTATATCATTTAATATCATGTTTTTCTATATCATTTAAATTATGTTCATGTTTTCCTAGGTCATCGAATTATAATCCTTTAGCAGAATTTAGGAGTTGTAGCCTATAAATATCTCATTTACAAAGTAATATAACACACTTCAATTATTAAATGAATTTCATTGCCCTTGGTAGAACTTTGACAAGCGAGAATTTTTATTCTTCTTGTTGTATCAAGAATTGAATTAATTTATCAAGTTATTTTGTGTTATTTATTCATTCTTACTTATTTCATCCCAATCACCTAAGTTCTCAATTACAAATTAGTTGTGGGTTTATCTATGCTAAATATATATGTAGGATTTTAGATGTAATCTTTGATCCTCGAGTTTCGCATCACTATTGCTAACTGAGGCTAGAGATATTTAGAGTACATGGTGAGTGGCTACAGTTTAGATATTATGTAACATTAGAAGTATTAAAAGATGTATTAGAACTGTCAATGTATGTGAGATTTGCTTAATGATTTTACTATTGCTAAAAGTAAGATCAAGATTTTAGTACCATTTACGACATTAATCAATAATGTGGTTATTAAGGTTGCATATTAAACAAAGTCCTATTTTCTTTTTCTAATTATAATTTTCATGAGCAAAAAAAAATTGTTAATATGAAATCTCAAAGATTGAGAATTAACATTACTTGATCTGGAAGCAATATTTGTAATGATGAGTTCATAGCTAAATTTTAGAAGAACCTCATGAGTGAGACAACTTCTATTTAATTCATGAATTAGAATGTAATTAGATTGCATATTGAAAGTAATGATAAGATAATGGTATTGATGATCTAAATTATAAAATATTGTTAAATTATTCTATTATAGATAGAAGTTTACCTTCAATTGCAAGTTCATCAATAAGTAGTTTTACTTTTTTGAAGATGTCAAAATACATTTTTATCTTTTATTTTAACTCCTAGAGGATCATGTGGATTGTAACTGGTGAGTTTGAGATATAGACACAAGAACTTTATGTAAATCATTTCGAACGTGTAGAAATATTTCTTGACTAATAACATAAGAAAAAACTTCTTATGTGAGAAAGGATATGATTCATATCATGAGCATTTATTTTTTTTATAACAAAGTGGTATATTTAGGATTATGAATTAAGAATCCATCTGTAGAGGAGATTATTTTACGTAGAGATGTTTGAGGCCCATCAACAAAAGCATATAGGTTTTGGTAGTTTAGATTAGGAAAAAATACAATCTTCCAAAGAAAGATAACTTAACTAAAAGTGAATAATAATAAATAGAAGATAAGGGTATGAGATGGAAGGAGTAGATAAAAAGCTATTTTGATATGAGAGATAAAGATAGTTGATTTTAAAGTTTGTCATCGTGCTCTGGTACTATACAAAGTAAGAGGTTATAAATTTCATAATTTGTAATTCAATGTGTCTCTATCTATAGACATGAATGTACAAGAATGAAATAAACACAGATTATTAAATATAATCATTTTGAAATATACATATTAAATGTTCAATCACAAAGTTAACTCTAATAATTTTTTTATTAACACATGGGACTTACTAATCATCTTTAAAGTTTCATTTCTTGAGGCAAACTGTTACACCTTTGACCAAGAGCCTCTCTTCCATTTACCTCTTTATTATGCCTATGGAATATTCATTTTTCGTTGTCTTCCTCTTCCTCTCGGTTTGGCTTCAGTTGTCATAGTTTTCTAACTCAGACATTATTTTATAGTACTTCAACTCTTGATTCAAACTATGAAGCCCCATCTTATTGTGATCAACGAGTTCTCATCTTCTTATGTCAGCAATGAATAGTTTTAACTATTTATTTCCATTGATTAAAAATCATCAACAATTTTTTTTTTTTTTTGTATCTATTTTTGTTGATAAAGAATATTGCAAATTAGTTGATAGCAACGAAACTCGCTGTAAATATGTTATATTTCTCATAATCTAATCTTTTGAAAAATTTTTAAAAAAAAAAAGAGAAAGAAAAAGAAAAAGAAAGGTGACTCTTGGCTACATTCACTTTCATAAGCTTTTGTGTTTTCTCTCTTCAATTTTTTCGGCACAATTATTGTTAATCTTTTTATTGGAGGATTTTACTTAGGTGAAAAGTCTGTTTGTTGACCCAATAATCAAATTATTTATTTGCATGTTAAAAGTTCAAGAATTTTCGCACAATAATATTAATGATAATATTACAATATTAAAGACTTCCATGCATATTTTGGCTCCAAAGCCACTCAAGTTCACTATAGTGAACATTAATACAAATAATAATAATTGTGATGTTTGTTATAAAAAGAAATATTTCCAAATAAATTACAAATATAATGTCTAAAGCTTATTAATTAAAAACAACTTATAAAAAAAAAAAAAATTAGGTTAATCGATTTTTACCTTTTTTTTTTTTTTTTTTTTTTTTTTAAAGTTCCATTTAAAAAGATCTCTTATTTAAATTTGTAAAGACTATTAGAGTTGTTGAAAACGAACTTCGTGGATTTGGAGTCCTCCCTTCCACTTACCACTCCACACTTCGTATAATCCAAAGTAAAGTTCGTCATAACGAATAGAAGATATTTGATCCTTTGAGATTTCAAAAGGACCGTGATCGATGATGGGATCAGGAATATCAAAAGGATCAGTTGGTGATGATGGTAGTTTATTTTTGTGGTGACGAGCCAACGACTTGATTCGCTTCCATATGGTCTGTCCCTTTCTCCCAAACTTAACCATGAGAAACACTGGAGCCTCACTCCACCCAAATGAATTTGCCGTCAAAGACACCTTGAAGCTAATTCTATATCCAACATCTTTCGTAGTAAATCTCACTTTGCCCGTCACCTCCAGCCATGATGTCTGCTTCAGCTCTGCAGCACCATTCACCACTCTACAATATATATATATATATATATATGTGTGTGTGTGTCACGTTATAAGTATAAAATTTATGTCAGATGATTAAGTGCATTAAAAAGCAACAAATCTACATATATTATGTTTTTATGATGATCTCAAACTATACCCCTTTTAAATTTCTAATTGCATCTTCTTTAAAATTTCTTTAACACTTGGGTGTTTTCGGAGCAATTCTTATGCACTGACCTGGTCAAACGCAGACTCTATATGTTATATGTTAGGTATACGAGATTTATAACAAGAAAAATTCTCCTATTCTTCCTTCTAAAAGATTAGATCTTAAATTTACTTACAAATCCGCACTTACTTAGGAGAAAAGAACAGCACAAGAACATTTATAACGAGTATGTATGTGTGTATAATATTTACTGTAAAGAAATACTTTTCAATTTAGAAAAAAAAAAATCAATTAATTAATCAAACAGAAAAGATTAAAGACAGAGGATGATTGACCTTTGACTATCTTTAGGTAAATACCAATAGCGTGGGTCATTGCCCCATGTAATATTCAGGTTCTTGAGTGTTATTATACAAACATATTTCCCTTCCTGCACATGAAAATTACCTTAATATTGATTACCATGTTTTAATAATAAAAAAAAAAGACTAAATCATTAATAAGCTCGAGTATATATAAGCTCAAATATATGTTAATGTATGTAACTTTTTCTTTTATATATATAGAGATGTTGGAGTAAATCTGGTTCAGGCTTGCTGAAATAATTAATAGGATATACAAATATATGTATATCTATATCTATATCTATATCTATATATGAAATAAGAGTAGCAACTCCATATACAGCATGCGTAGATAGAAATTAAGAGGCTGAAATTTAAGCTTACTTTGTCAGGCGTACAGGCGACTGAATCAGCCGTCGCTTGGTGATGGGGTTTGAGTTTTGTAGACATTGTAGACCAAATTTTAAATTTTCTCCTAAATTTTTGGTTATTCTACGAGTCCTTTAATACGCAAAGCCTTTGGCATAATAGATGTGTATATATAGATGGATTGATTAGTAATCAATATACACACACATATATATATTAATATATAAGAGAATATATATTTGTATTTATTGTATATGTGACTCAAGGAATATAAGACGTGAAGGAGAATACAAAAGAAAGTAACCGATCAAACAAGCTGGGAATTTTTAGTGCTGGAGTTGGCTTGTATACGAAATCATCAGTATACCATGCCACATATATATAGATATAACAGCTTGCACAAAATAGAAATACTCAGATAGATGTGTGTGTGTGTGTGTGTATATATAAATAAATGAAATGATTGAAAGGGACAAAAAATTTAAAAAAAAAAAAAGGAAAAAGAATATATACCATGATTGATCCAATTAAATGAAAAGAACTGATCCTCATTCATCAATGCAGTTCCTTCTTAACTACAAATTATTCCGTTTTAGATTCCACTTATCAAATTATATTTTAATAATTTTATTTACTGGATTCTCCAGTTTAACAAATTTACTATTTTTTTCGAAAGTGTTTGAATAAACTCTTGTCATTGGATTTTCAAAGTTATCTCTTCCAAGTGCCTTTCGTTAAGTCCAGACCATTAAGAAAAAAAAAAAAAAAAAAGTTAGAAATAAACAAGAGACAAAATTTCAGATTTTGAGAAATCCTTTTGAATACAAAAATTGATTTAAACTACTATTCTAGCCTATAAAAGGAGAGGATTAGAGTCGAAATCAAATCAAAGCGGAGGAGAAGAAAGAGAGAGAGAGAGAGAGAAGAAATAGAAGAGAAATGGAAGAAGAAGAAGAGAAAAAGGAAGGGTCTGAGTGGCAGTGGCTGTCATTCTCTCACCTCACCTCACCTCGGTAACATCATCGCTTATATCAATTATTTTGTGTTTTCCCTCTATCCAACTTTGTTTACCTTTCTCTTCAAGTTTTGCGCAAGAAAAAGTTATTTTTTTTATTATTATTTTAAATTTAATTTTTAATAAATTATTTTGTTAATAGTATATTCAATTCAGAATTTAACTCTTAGTAAAATTATTATCTACTTATTATTTTTACTCGATTGTACATCAATTTGATTTGAGATTATTATTATTAATTCTTGCTAATTAATTTAAGATTATTTTAATTTACATAATTAATTATATCTCTATTCAGAACCCAACAAGTGATATCAAAACTAGGTTAATCTGTGGTTCAAAATTAATTGTGCAAATTAAGATAGACGAATATACAAGTAATATGATTAAACGGATGACTTCAAATTATTCAATTTGGAAGACGAAGATGAAGATGATTGAGAGAAATACACACAAAAACTGTGAAAACTATTTGACAGTAGATAGATATGAGTATCCATCATTATATAAGCAAAGAGGCCAATGCACATGATTTATGAAAGAAATTGTAGAATATGTAGGAGAGGAAAAATGCTCAAAATAAAGTTTTTGTTATTAGAAAGTTAGTGAATTTGAAGCTGGGAGATAGAGAGTCAATAACAGAACACTTGAGTGAGTTTCAAGATCTAGCAAATCAATTGAATATTATGAAATTAACCATAGATGATGAAATGCATGAATTATTACTTTTGAGTTCGTTATTAGATCATTAGAAGATCTTGGTGGTGTCTCTTAGTAACTCTACTCCAAGTGATGTTTTGCCTTCATTTATGATAAAAAAAAAATAAAAAAAATAGTCTCTATAATAAAGATATCAGAAGGAATGATATGAGCATTGATACCTCACAAGTCTTTGTCACAGAGAGCAGGGATAGAAATAAAAGTAGATGTCCTAAGGGATCTTATAAATTCATAGGTAAATCATAGTCGAAATGAAAGTTCAGTTATTATCATTACGACAAAGAAGGATATATGAAAAGAAACTGCAAGATTTAGAAAAATGAATAGAATAGTGAAAAAAATCAGAAAAAGACAGATGATCAGAACACTACTGCAACTGTAGCTGATGACAGTGAAGAACTGGTTGTACTTTCATTTGTTGAAGATCATAGTGACATCACTGATCCTAATACTAAATGGGTTGTTGATTCTACAGCATGATGTCATGCTACACCCAGAAGATATGTTTTTACTATATACAAAGTAGAGAATTTTGGCATAATGAAGATGGGTAATACCAGCTACGTAGAAATTGTGGATATTGGTGATATTTGTGTGCAAACAGATATTAGTTGTATGTTGACGCTGAAGAATGTGCGGTATGTACCAAATTTACATTTTAATATGATTTCTACTAATGCTCTTGACTTAAATGGTTATTACAATCTATTTGGTAGTAAAAAATAAAAACTCACTAAAGGTTCAATTGTGATTACTAGAGGTAGATTGTATCATACACTTTACAAGACTCAGGTAAAGACAATTAGAGATAACTCTGAATATAGTAGAAGAAGATATTTTACTATACTTGTAGCACAAGTGGTTGACTCATATGAGTGAGAAAGGATTGCAAATTCTAGCAAAATAGTCTCTCATTTCCTTTGGCAAAGATATGAGTTTAAATTCTTTTGATGATTGTTCATATGATAAGCAACATAGAATTTCTTTTAGTAATTCTTCTGAAAAAAAAAATAAAATGTAGTTGAGTTAGTCTATTCTAATGTATATGGTCCCATTGATGTGGAATCATTAAGTGGTAGTAGATACTTTGTTATATTTATTGATAATGCTTCACGAAAAGCTTGGGTGTTTGTTTTGAAAAGAAAAGATCAGGTTCTACAGTGTTTCAAGTAGTTCCATACTGTGTTAGAAAAAAAGAAAGAAACACTTTTAAAGTGTCTTCGCAGTGACAATGGCAGCAAATACACTTCAAAAGAATTTGAGAATTACTATCTATAGTATGGAATCATATATGAAAAGATTGTTCCAAGTACTCCTCAACAAAATGGTGTTGCTGAAAGAACAAACAAAACCATCCTAGAGAATGTCAGATACTTGTTAAAAATGGTTAATCTACTAAAGTCATTTTGAGATGAAGCACTTTACACTGCCTACTATATAATAAATCTTTCTCAATCAACTGCTTTAAATTTTAATATTCTTGATGGAGTATAGTCTGGGAATGATATTAGATACTCTCACTTGAAGGTATTCGGGTGCAAAGCATTTGTGCATGTGCCTAAAAAGCTGAGACAGAAACTAGATGACAAGACTAATATATGCATTCTTCTGCGTTATGAAGTTACAGAGTTTGAGTGCAGGTTGTGAGATCCGGTGAAGAAGAAAGTCATTAGGTACAGAGACATAATCTTCAACGAACACAAAACCTTATTGGATTTTGAGATATAAAAAAAAACTACAAGTGAAGAGATTCATTTTTCTGCATTAATTTCCCCTACAATCAGAAATGTCAGTAACTAAGGGGATGAAAATGATTATGTGTCAGTAATTAAGGAGATGAAAATGATTATGTGTCAGCACTAGTAAATATAACTGATGATATTGAGCAAGGGGGGTAGTCCCCTCCACCTCAGATTGTTGAAGAACCTCACATTAAAAGGTCAAGTAGAACACATCATTTATTTACTAGATATCTCAGTTCTGAGTATATTATAGTTACTGAAAATGGGAGTCAGAGAGCTTCTAAGGAGTGCAGAATCATAAAGAAAAATTTTAGTGGATAAATGCAATGCAACAGGACATGAATTCTTAGAAGAAGATTTAGACTGATCTAGTTAACATGGTAACCAAGATTTCTGACAAATATCAATCTGGCACCAAGACAGGGGGATTGAGTGGAAATTGAGTAACAGATGTGTAGATCTCCCATGGGCTAGAGGGAGAGATTATTAAGTCCAGCCCATTAAGACAAAAAAAAAATACGAAAACAAACAGGAGATAAAATTTTAGATTTTTGAAAATCTTTCTAGGTAGAGAAGTTGATTTAAACTGCTACTCTAACCTATAAAAGGAGAGAAGTAGAGTCGAAATTAGATCAAGTGGAGGAAAAGAAAAATATTCAGAAAGAGAGAAGTTGTGCGAAAAGAAAGAGAAAGAGAGAGATAGAGAGAGAGAGAGAGAGAGAGAGAATAAAGAGAAGAGAAAGGAAGAATAAGCTCATTTTCCTTTTTTAAAAAAAATCTTGGATTCCATGATGAAGATACTTATCTCCTTCTCACTAGAATTAAAACATGTTTACCTAGTCGCTCTATTTGACTTTGATTATTTAATTAATTAGAGACAAAGAATTCTAGTACATGATTGAAACTCATACTTCAGTTGATCTCAACTTAACTTAAAAGGAAGCCATGGAAATAAACAGAGTAGAGGTAGAAGAACTTATTTTATACGTATAAAGAGGAGGAAGAGGAAAGTAGATGAACTTATTTTGATTGATAAGATATTGCAGTTTTAATTTATGCAATTAATTAACGTCTCCAACTTGTTTGTCAGAAAAGATATATGCTGACTAAATTCATGTAAAGTCAACTAAAACTTGTGAATCTTCTAAATATTTATACAATGAGTCATACAAAATAATACAAGTGCAATGTAAAATGGAGAATAAAATTGATATTTTTAAAATATTTGTAAAAAGTATTCTGAAAATTTTATAATAATAGGTTAAGTTGTTTAACTTAAAAGACTGGTGGTGGCATTATTTCTAATTTTTAATATGAGGAAGAACAACGTATTTTCTCAAATAGAGGAGAACCAGGACGACCCCCTATCACATTTGTTGCTGCATCTTCTAACTCCCTGCTCCAACTGGAGGGACATGCATGACAACAGCTTACACTAAAATATTCAACGGTGATAAGTTGCTCACCGCACTTGATCAGTTTGTGACTTGTTCTTCAGTTCAGTAGATGCCTTAACCAAGTCTTCAGTCGTGGCCGGCTTATGCAACTGCAGTCAAACAAAACTCTCATTCAATTATTTGCACAGATAAAAATTTCACTAAAACAATATGCATCGCTTTCATCGGTTCGAATTTCGTAATAAAACCTAAAACTCATCAAACTAACTTCCCTTTTATCACAGCTGTAGATAACTTGATGACCTTTTTTGCTGGTGCAGTTTCTGCAAATTCAACCTAGTCTGAGAAATAGTTCGCATGTCCTTTTACTGAATTTAATGAGAAGGAGAAGTCAAGTTGTCATGAATTGTGTTTAACTAAGTCTAACAGATTTTTCCAAAATCCAAAACTATGGATGGTCATACAATAAACAAGAAATCAAGGTATCAACTAGGCTAATGACGTTACAGTGTATTAATAGCTGGAGAAGTGATTATTTTTCACTTATTCAAAGAATTACAACGTGCTGCTATTTATGTCCAGGACCTTAATGTATAAAATGTATGTAATAAAGAGTTGGGGATCTGATAGAAAAAAAAATGATCGTACGCATGCTTGAATAAAAATAGTGGAGCGTGATGATGCTGATGAGTGAGAATTTGGCAGTGATTAGCTTCTGAATTTGTGGTGTTCAACGATGCAATCTTGGCCAAGTAATATCATGAATATGCCCTTGCAAGTCAATGTCACCATCTAGAACATTGAGCTAGGATGAAAGCATTATAATTGAGGCTTAGTTTGAGGCAAGTGAGAGGATCAGTTGATTGGTTTGCCATTTTGAACTTGCTCTCAGGCAACGATAATCAGAAATATATGTTTCATTTATTGCGAAAGACGAGGTTGGCAGACAAGTGACAACAATATTGTAGCAATGTACAATAAGAGGTTATGGAATAGGAATGCAAAGCTCATTAAGAAGTGATCAGCACCATAGGAGTTTGGAGATGGGGGTGGCTACAGCATGACATTTAGCTTCAATTAAGGATCGGACCATCATTTTCTGCTAAGGGAGCACCAAGAGACTGGCGTAGAGCCAAGACAACTGATGAAGGCTGAATTAGAACAAAGATTATCTCAATCACCAGCCTATTCAACATTTGAGAATATAATTAATTGATGTGGAAGTTGCTTTTGAATTGCAGGCCAAAGTCAGATGCCCTTCAAGTCTCATGAGAGCCTTTTGAGAGCTTGTCAGTGGATAACTTTCGGATGGTGCACAGCCTGTGCAATCTCATTAATAGTGAATACACTACCAGAGTGTGTGAAGAAGGGCTTGTCAGTGGATAGCTTTTGGATAGTGCATGACCTGTGCAAGCTTATTAATAGAAAAGCAACTACCATAGTGTGTAAAGGAGAGATATTGGAGAGATCCAATTACAGTGCCGATGTTCAATAGCATCAGCAGGTTGGCTAGGATCATTGAGAACCAGGGCTTGCAACAAGGACATAAAGCTAATGACCTTAGAATCATGCATGTTGATTTTGTATAGGAGATCAGATATAAACTTCTATTTGATGAGGAATATGCTAAAGGAATTCTTAACAGTTTCTACACACACAAAAAAAGTGAAGATTACTGAGGTGCTCAAGGACAATTTTGAGGAAGAGCTATGACAAAAGATTGCATGAACTTGTTACAGCTGCTAGCGAGAAGCAGCTTATCAACATAAACAAGGAAAAAAGTGGTGGTAAGACCTGACTAAGATGAAAAAGAAAAACAACAATTCTAGAAATGGTGAAACCAAAGATGAGCAGGACCACTTTTAGAGTTAGATATGAATGATTATGAAAAATATCCAATGATTGATTCCAAGACAAAATATCAAATTAATTTCCGAAATTTGGGACTTGTTATAATTTAGTCCCTAATGTTCTTCCATTGTAATCTGATTGCCTATATTTTCTATTTGTTTCAAATGTTCACTTTTATTCTACTTTTTTTAAAAAAAATAAAACTTAAAATAGATACATCCTATTTGGATACTATAAAATGCAGCTCAAAAAAATATTTTAACTAATTTAATTAAATTAATAGATTAGTAATAATATTAAGCCTGATTAGTGGTAGAATGTAACTAATAGTAAAAATTATTTATTTCTATATAAACAGTTTTAGAAACCAATATATGCATGTATATGTAAACCGTAGGGCCTACCAAAAAATAATGGCATAAAGATAGAAAGCTTTTGGGGGAGACTTTGAGGTAAGGAAGAGAGAAAACACAGAACAACTACTGTACCGGAGAGGGAAACGTGACTGTAGCGAATTTAAGGCAGGGAAGAGAGACAACAAAAAGTAGAGGCAGGAGATGCTATAGAAGAGAGAAACAAACAAAGAACACCTACTGTGCAGGAGAGAGAATGTGGCTTGAGATAGTCTGAGCCAGGAAAGAGAGAGAACAGAAAGCGAAGCCAGCACGTCTACAGTGGAAGCACAGAGACGCAGGTTGGTGGTCTTGGTGCAGGAGAGAGGTAACATACCATGCTGCTAGGATAGTGACAGAAACTTGCGGCTGAGAAGATGACGGGAAGGAAAATGACGATCTGGTAGAGGATGAGAGGAAGCTTGCAACTGAGAAGAGAGAGAACTTGATTTTTTTAAACCGTTAGTGACAAAGAGAACAAAAAAATTCTGTGCTCTGATACTCTGAACAGTTATGAAACAATTCAGTAGTTAATTTTATTACCAGATGAATATGTTTTTACGATGTTACAAAACACCAGCATCTGGCGTTCTAATCTTATAAAATATTAAGATGTAGAATCTACTAATATAATAATATAATGATAATGATAAACATAAATTATAATATATATACGAGTATATTTATCCCTTTATGAAACAAGGCTTAAGGTGCCTGTTTGAGAGGTCATGAAAATTTTTTCTTAAATCAAAGAACCCAAATGCAGCCAATTTTCTTAAGGTTCCTGTTTCAAGTTTGTGATGAGTGGAAGTTTTGAAGCAGGGAAAGCATTAGCAGTTAAAACTTCAAAGTTTCTGCAAGTCGGGAGATTTCTGGTACAGGGAGATCATGAAAAGAATGAGAGTGAGCATCCGATTCATCAGATGATGCAATCAAAAGAAGAAGACCGAAAATGTAAGGGAAGGAGCTTGGTGCAGAGGATGAGGTCGTTTTCAACAATGTATCTATATTTTCGTTCAGTGAGACTGTTGTGTTGAGTGTGTGGAGGCAAAAGGTGAGTGATGCCATGTGCTTCAAGAAATTCACCTCAATCATCAGTATAGAGTTGAATAACGAGGTATGAAAATATTTCTCAACCACTCTTGAATTTGGGAAATACACTTGAGACATCAGATTTCTTCTGAATAATATAGAGCCAGTTATATCTTGTGAGTGATCGACAACATAATAGTTAAATTATTTATTGAAGAAATTGGAGCAAGGCCATATACATAAGAAAATAAAAGCTCAAGAGGTTTGCTAAAAGCTATGGAGGAGATATTTTACCTTTCGATCCTAGATATAAACTCAACATTGATGAAAAAATATCTTATTACTGTATGAAAGAGAACTTACAGCTTCTGCTAAAGGAAACCAGTGAAATGATCGGGCAAAAGCATCATCTTGTGAAGGAAGGCTGTCATGATTCCAATATGTCAATTTATCAAATTTAGCTTTCATCTCCCAATACAAGTCCCTTTCACTCATGTCAGAAGTTTTTTGCTTTTCGTGACTCCTCTTTCCAAGGACAAAGCCTGCAGGAAGGTAATTCAAAGGATATTCTTTGGAACTGTTATGAAATATAAAAATGGCATCAAATCAATTAACCGATAAAAATTTATGGAGACACTGTAAACTTCACTAGCACAAATATTTAAGATGCCTTATAAAGTAACATCCAAATGATATAAAACCAATTAACCAAAAAAAGCCTATAAAATTGAAATATAGAAATCAGAGAGGGCTGTATTCTGTCAAGAATTAGAGCTTAAATTTTCTATTGACATTTTTATCATAATTGTTGAATACCATATTTTATTATTTAATTATTTAGTATTATGTAATTAAAATTTTATAAGAATAATAATCTCATAAAATTATAATTATAATAGAATAAGAATTTCTTTATTAATATATTAGAAATTCTATAAATACCATAAGTATAACAACTTAAAAGGTGAGAGATAAAATTTTTTTTTTTTTTCAAATTCTACATGATATCATAACCAAATAAAATTATTTTAGACTTCTAATTTTAAAATTCTTTTCAAACCCCAAAATAGCACAATATGCTGGGTTGGTACCTTTTTATCCAAATCTACTCTCACCACCACCCAAAATGAATTTGAAACCACCGATGTGTTATGTGGTGTTTACGGTGATTTTCAGCTGCACTCTTGAAGCGCCAGTAAAATGTTACAGCCGCCCATTTGCATACGTGAGTAAAAAACTACAGCCGTACATTTGCAAGCACCAGTAAAAAGTGCAGCCGCACATCCACAAGCATTAGTAAAAAGGTACAGCCGCACGTCCGCAGACGCTGGTAAAAAGTTACAACCGCACATCTACAGATGCCGGTAAAAAAGACTACATCATTCTATTTTTCTGCGGACGTTCAGAGATCTGTCCGGAGAAGACAAGCCAACCCGACTTCGAGCTGTTTTTTGAGCCAACTACGAGCCGTTTTAGAGCCGAGTCTGAGTTATTTTAGAACCAAACCCAAGCCGTTTTAAAGTTGAACCCAAGTCGTTTTAAAGCCGAGCCGAGCCATTTTGAGTCAGGTCGAGCCATTTCGAACTCGATCAAGCCATTTTGAGTCAGACCGAGTCGTTTTGAGTCAGATCAAGCCATTTGAGCCGAGTCGAGCAGCGTAAACCTCTGGTAGATTACATGATGAGTCTTTAGAATTTAATTTATAAATTGAGCATGTGCAATATCCCTACACCAACTTGAGGAGGGACGTTAAATACTATATTTTATTATTTAATTATTTAATTATTTAATTATTTAGTATTATGTAATTAAGATTTTATGAGAATAATAATCTTATATTATTAAAATTATAGTAGAATAAGAATTTTCTTATTAGTAGATTATGAATTTTATAAATATTTTTAAGTGTAACAAATTAAAGAGTAAGAAATAAAGTTATATTGTTTCTCCAAATTCTACAATAGTTCATAATCAAATCTCGATACCTACTAATACATTATGATAACACTCCCAGGCTGGCTTTACATCTAAGCACCATTAATGCAATTTGGCATAATGCACTACATTCTTATATCCATTGGCACTCTGCCCTCGAGACACTATAGACGCCTCTGCAAAACCAATATAGCTGTTTTACCCTTAAATGCCTACAATATGTTAAGCATGAGAGTTCCGAGTGAATTTCAAAATTAAAATTTATTGTTTAGTTTCTCTTTATAACCTGCATAATTTACTTTTGTAAGTTGCAGTTGTCTTGATCAGTGTCTTATCTTGAGCAGTGCCATGAAAAATATTATTGTCTTTTATTTTTATGATGTATCAGTCATGTACAGAAGAAAATACTTGTAAAAAGCAGTAGCATGAGAAAAAAATCTGCAAGAAGAAACAAACTTTTAAGGTTTCTCTCCAGCAGTTTGTTTTTCCACTTTTTTGTGTCAACTTTCACATCATTATACAAAAACTAACAGGATAATCGTAGACAAATAGTATGCAGAGGACACTCAACCACTTGTTCCACTTACATCCTGAGCACCTCCCGATATTTGGGCCAAGTATTTAGCACCTAAAAATAAATAAATTTATTATTCTCTTACAATCGAAGGATCAAAAACCTTGTGACATATTAGTGCAAAACTCTGCTTTGTACTCAGGATGACAGCTTTGGTTTCTTTTTTATTTTTTTTGAGTAAAAGTAGAAAATGGTTGAATAGAGAAACAAGCTTCTGTCAAGATACCATCATATGTAAGAGGATCAGACCACAAATCTAATCAACAGTCCCACCTAAGGAAGAACTCTAGCTCTAGCCTAAGATTGTCCTATCTAATACTGAATGTATCACTGTTTGACAACTTGTATCTTATTCACATTTATTGATAAAACTTTTATATATTGTGACCAGTTAATCTAGTTGGAAAATTCTCCAAGACATCTTTAGTAGTATCAGGGGCCTAAGTGCTCCCACCAGCCACTCATAAACCTTCTTCAATCACCAAGTCTGACTCCAAGAAACCTCCTCTTTGGCAAACCCACTCTGGTCTCACCTGGTGTTATTCCGACTAGCACCAACCAACCACTGCTTTCCATCAAGGAAACAACACAGCTTCCCTTAAAGCTTTCACCATACAACCACTGTCAAGAGCGTTGGTCATTTAGCTCTGATGAGTTAGCTCGTAGCAACAGAACTAAACATAACTAGAGGAGAAGAAAGAGGAAGAACTTAGGAGGGAGAGCTGTAGTCAAGAGAAAAGAAGAGAGGAAATTTGAATCTGTAATTTGAATTTCTGGCATACCTTAATAGTTGTCAAAATTTCCCATTTATATCCCAATTACAAGTGCGTTAAGGCTATGAACAGAATAAAATTCTAACTCGATCCCACCAACTTGCCTAACATGATTGCATGAATTGACCCAGTCGGTCATTACCCCTTAGCTCAACGCCTAAGATAAACTTTGAAGGGTTTACTTAGACTCGAATTACTTGTACTGACAACCACCTGCCATGACAAGCTTAGTTCCTTCTTATCTTTGGTCTAGACTTCTTGCCTACAGAGATAGCAGCAATGTCTATTCAGAGCCATGGCCAATGCCTTGCCAACAATTCCTAACCCTTTCTACAACCTTTAGTAGAGAGAAGACTGCTTGATCCTTCATAAAATCCTTGCTTCAATTTTAGAGGGAGTTACTCCTTTCATAGCATCAGTTGCTACCATTCATGAAGCCTGGCTCAAACTGGAAAAATTACGTGCAAAGAATCATGTGGAAAAGCTAACTGTGGCTCAAGGCTTTAGGTCAAGGATGAATATCTCAACAGATTAAAGCTACTACCACTAATATGCTTCAATTGATGCTCCAATGTTAACGATGATCTTAATAAACATTTGAATTCAGCAAATGTTGGCAATAAAGGGATCTCCACAAATATTAGGGTGCATGATTCCTCCATGAAGTTTGAAGAGTGCATGACAAATCTTTTGCATATGAATTATAATTTATATTGAAATCAATTAGCTTCCTTATATATATATATGTATATTATCATGAATAAAATCACCAACTACAAAGACCTCTTTTCTAAAAGATTAGAAATTCTCTTAGACGAGTCTTGTCATAAGCCGAAAACCTGAGAACCAAGCCACTTGTTTGCTTTGGGACTTTTACATTAGAAGGCCCTGTGACTAGATCCAAAGCTCAGGACCATGCCAAATTAGTATTAGAGTCACTAGTCATGGGGACTGAAGGTTTGAAGAATAGAAAATCTTCTTCTACTTGCCTTAATTTCATTCTTGGTGGTGCTACAATTTATAAAAAATAAAGCAACAAAATAATAACTTCGTAATAAATTTATGGGGAGAAGGAATTGCAGAAATGGTTATAACTATTCTGAGATTCTCTCCACTAGGCAAAACAGAAAAGAAACAAATTTATTTTCTTATATTTTCTATACTCCCCCTCAATCTAGTTTACATAGATGTTAAGTAAACCTAAATTGGATACAATATTATCAAAGGTTCTCCTTGGCAGACCTTTTGTTAGGATGTCCGCAACCTGTTGACTTGTTGAGATATGCATAAGGGTTATAGTTCTATCTTCCAATTTTTTCTTGATAAAGTGTCGATCGATTTCTATATGCTTAGTTCGGTCATGATGAACTGGATTTTTGGCCATGCTAATGGTAGATTGGTTATCATACCAAACTTTCATAGAGATACCTTCATAAACTTTCAGTTCTACAAATATCCTTTTCAACCACACTCCTTCACATATTCCATTATCAAGTGCTCGAAATTCAGAATCTGCACTGCTACGAGATACACAGACTGCTTTTTACTACACCAAGTTACTAGATTGCCCCAGACATAGGTACAGTATCCTGATATAAATTTTCTGTCAGTTACTGATCATGCCCAATCAGCATCAGTGAAGATTTCAATATTCCTTTTTTTTTGTTTTCTGAAAGAACAATCATTGACCTAAAGTCATCTTTAAGCATCTCAGAATTCGATATGTAGTAGTCATGTGCTTCTCAGTTGGTTCATTCATGAATTGACTCACTGTACTAACTGCAAAACTGATGTCAGGTCTAGTGTGTGCTAAATAGATGAGTTTGTCCACCAGTCTCTGGTACCTTTCTTTATCAACCTTTTTACCACTGATGTTGAATCCAAGTTTTATGGTCGGATCCATAGGTGTGTTAGTAGGTTTACTTCCGAGCATTGCGGTCTCTTTCAGGATATCAAGAACATATTTTCATTGTGATACTAAAATTCTCCTTTTTGACCGGGCTACTTCCATACCAAGAAAGTATTTCATCATTTCAAAATCTTTAATTTCAAACTCCTTAACTAGGAATTCTTCAAGCCTTTGAATTTTCTCAATATGATCTCCTGTCAAAATAATGTCATCTACATAGACAATCAATATAGTTTTTTTACCTGAGATGCAGTGTTTAACAAAAAGTGTATGATCTAATTGGCATTGCCCATACCCTTCTTGTTTTACTACTTTTGTGAACCTGTCAAACCAAGCTCTTAGATATTGCTT